TCCAAGGGGGTTTCTGTGATCCAACCCGTCACACATGCATCCAAGGATCACATTAGCCCTTTTGGTCACAGTGTCACACTGGGAGCTCATGTTCAACTGATGATCCACCACAGCCCCCAAATCTTTTTCAGAGTCACTGCTTCCTAGGACAGAGCCCCCCATTGTGTAAGTATGGCCTGCATTCTTTGTTCCTAGATATTTACACTTGGCCAGATTGAAACGCTTGCTTTTGCCCAGTTCACCAAGTGATCCGGGTCACTCTGAATCAGTGACCTGTCCTTTTCATTATTTACCACTTCCCCAATTCTTGTCATTTGCAAACTCTATCAGTGATGATTTATGTTTTCTTCCAGGTCATTGATAAAATCGTAAAATATCATAGGGCTAAGAGTCTATCCCTATAGGACTCCACTGGAAACAGACATGCTCGATGATGACTTCTCAGTTTACAGTTGCATTTTGTGACCTCAGTTAGCCAGTCTCTAATCTATTTCATGTGTGCCATGTTAATTTTTATATCACTGTAATTTTTTAATCAAAATGCCAGGCAGTACCAAGTCAATTAACATACTGATCAGTAAATATTAGCAGACCAAAGAAAATCTGTATCTTCCCTTGTATGAAGAGATGACATGTCAAGGCTATAATGCCACCTACAGGATTTTAGTGACAGCATAAACATTATAAGAGAGGAGCAGTGCAGTCAGAACTGGAGCGGTTATTGCTAGTGGTAGCACTTATTCTTAAATGTTCATATTTATTCGAACCCAGTGACAGTATCTGCTTTCAGAATGTGGTGACATCTGATGTGCACACCCGAAAAGAACAGATCTGTCAGCTAGATTATTCAAATAAGCTCCTGTTGGGGACTCGCTCTCTCCTCTCTTCCTCCCTGGCTTAATTTTGCATCTCAGGATTACAATGTACTTGTTCTGAAATGCACACTATATGTCCTTGTTTAAACCGGAATGGAAACTGACATTTGCCTGTAGAGTCAATCTTCAGAACTGGGACAGGAGCTGCTCTCTTGGTGGGAGCAGGGAAGGCTGAGGGGAAGTTGCACCTGTTTTGCTTAGCACAGCAGTTCCTGGAATCTGCCTGATGAGAAGTGCTTCTCGTTACGAATCAGCGCTATGTTGTCTCTGAGAATCCAGTGGGGTTTTTATTTTATTAAACTTGGCATTTGAGTTTCTGACTGGTGTCCACCATCCAACTCAAAAAGCAAAGAAGATTATTTGTGACACGTTTGGGAAATGGGTCTAGTGGGAGAACTTGCTGGGCAACTGCATGGGTCTCGGAACTGGGAAAGAGATTAATTCTGTTATGTCTAGGTCACCAGTTCAGATCCCCTAAGTTGGCATATGAAATAATGAATGGTATAGAGGAGGTCTTATCGGCCTCAAAGATGGCAGACCTAGGGCTGTGATGTACCAAATGGGGTAGTAACTAGTATCCTAATTTAGCACATCCGAGACTCCTGTCATGCTGGTGACATGTATAGGTGAAGACACTCCCTATGTTATAGTCTGTGACGCTCCCAAGCAGCAGTGAGCAGGAGTTTGTCCTTGGGGTCATCAGTTGCTTTAATGAATGAACCATTTTCTCCTTCAAGCTCGTACATAGTGTTTGTTGTATAAACTTCTCTCTAAAAATGATCCGTGCTTTTGGTCCCCACCCCCACCTCTATGCATTGCTTGTTTGTTGTCCTCTGGTCAGTTTCCAGGCTATTGGACAGTGCTCTTACCAAAGTCGATTTGAATGACTTTTTCAAGCATGTCACATAGCCTGCAGGTATGTCTACACTGGAGCTCTGGCGTAATTTCCAGCTCGAAGACATATACCCACACCAGCACCAATCAAACTAGCACACTAAAAATGACAGAAAAGTGTCACAGCTGTGGGGCTGGCTGCTGCTCTGTCCTAGAGCACCTGGCTCAAGTGTTGGGCCTTTTTCCCTTACTTGTCTCAGGGTAGGATCTCATGATTCCTCCATGTACCAGCCGCTTATCACCCAGTAGGTCCAACTGAGTTTTGGGGACCTGCATTTCTTCTCTTTGGGATATTCACCAACAGCCTTTTTGAAACAAAGCATTTTTGTTTAGTAGTAGGAACAAAACGTTGGAGGAAAAAGGGATTTTAAAACTGCCAACAACCTGAACACATTTAGTCTCATCTAATATTATGCTTCAGCACAAGCTAAGTTACCGTACCTTGCCATCCTTACTTCTGCGCTGCTGCAGGTGGCTCTCTGGCCGCCCAACTCTGAAGGCAGCGCCACCACCAGCAGCAGCGCAGAAGTGTGGCAGTACCACAAGCCCCCTTCAATAACCTTGTCCCCCATCTCCTTTTTGGGACCAGACCCCTACAATTACGACACCATGAAATTTCAGATTTAAATATCTGAAATCATGACATTTATGATTTTTTAAAAAATCCTATGACCGTGAAATTGACCAAAATGGACAGGAGTTTGGTAGGGCCCTAGGTATAAGGTAAGGTGGGAATTTAAACTGCTATAGTCCATATTGGTGTATCTCTCCTGGTGGACACTCTTAATCCAGTATAAGGACACTTTTTTCCAGTTTAGCTTTGTTGCTTTGGAAGTAGTTTAAGGTAACCTGGAAAAAGGCGTTCTTATTCCAGAGTCAGTGTTCACAAGGGGAATTTATACCAGTATAACTTCCCTTATAGACAAGCCCTCAGACAGCCAATCAGGACAGCTAGGAGACTACCCTCATAACGGTTGCTCCATTGGTTGGGTAGTTAGAGCCATTTAGCCTCAATGGTTTGTACTCACTGGCCTTGTGACTATATCTACATGTGGGATGGTGTGTTGGAACTGTCTGCTCTGCTCCCTTTTGCTAGTATAACACTCCACCCTAGAAGCCCAGTGCATAAATTACATTTTGAGATCCAGAGCAATGATTGTTAGTAAACATCCCCACTCTTTTGTTACAAATCACACTTACTTTCTACGACCCTTCACAGGGAGGCTAATTTCTCAGAATGAAATAGAGTTGGCTCATGTGGGTTGTATTAAAAACCTGGGCACTTTGATGGTTAATTTGGGCAGTAAATGTAACTAAAAGCAAATATTTTCATAAAGAAATAGGGAGAGGCATTGGTTTCTGTTACCAGAGGCAGCATTTGTTGTTCCTGCTTTAATGAAAATCCATTTAGATCTGCAAAGGATGCAGGATCCCTTTGGAACTGGAAATGTTACTTGAACTCCATTTTTGGCAACAAATCATATTTATCACTTTGGTCAAAAAATTTACCAGCTTTACATACACAGGCCAAACTGTGAGACCTCGAGAAGAGGGGCAGTGTACAGTTAAATGCTTGCATAGGAGGAAATTAACTGAGAGTAAAATGTACTTGAGCAAACACATGCAGAGCTGATAAGGATGTTCATGGAAGAATTCCAGACTCAAATAGAATGGGTTCAGTCTGGGTGGTAGACAGTGCGGCCTAATGAAGATGACAAATGGCTTGATTCTCAGTTATGCTAAGGCCCTATTGGACACTCTAACAACATACAGGGCCCTTAAAGGGGGCAGAAATGATCCCTTGTGCAGAGGGCCTGTCTCTGGGATATTGGCATAAGTGACCAAGGCCAGCCCTCCTCTCAGCAGCTCCCAACATAATGGTATGATCTGAGGGTGCTAAGGTGTGGCTGCAGTGTGGTGCACTACAGTTGTTCTCTGCTTCCCAGGCCCTTGGGAAGCAGAAGATAAATTAGAGCAGTGTTGGGGCTGCTCCGACTGACTTTAGGGGCTGAACAGACCCCTTCATAGCCCTGAAATACAGGGAGCACAATACGAAGATGGCTTAAAATTACCTTCTCACTTCAACCGGCAGAACAGAGTCACTGAGCGTCACCCCCCAAAAGTCTGAAGGAAATGAAACATTTAATTTGGAGCAATGCAACACTTCATTTTGACACTGTTCATTTCCCATTGTAAAATATCACTTTCATCCTCATTATTAACTTATTCAAGCACATGCAGAGCAAAGATATAAATAAAGCTTTTTAAAACAGCTGTCCTCTCCCCCAAGCCCCCCCCCCCCAAAAAATTCCCAGCCTGCAATGTTGAGCATGGCAGCCAGAGCCCTACTTCTTATTCTGTCCTATGAATGAAATGACAGCGTTCATTAAAATGGAAATTATCTTGCCCAAAGAAAGTGGTTAGCTGAGAAATCTCTTGAATGGCTTCTATAGAAACAGCAAATACAATTGATAGACCCCAGAAAACTGACTGGAGAGGACCCTGGGGAAGCCGCAGTCACATTGTCTGGCATGATGAAGGGTTGTTCATGAGGTGGGTTGGGACACTGTGGCTGAGAACTTGTGCTGGATGTGTGTGTCACTGTTTTTCCTCCAGGGACTGAGAGTTAAACTGAGATCTTAAACCCCATGAAGCAATGGATAAGCAGCTGCTTTAAAAGGACCCTGACAATCATGGTCTAGACACCCCAAGAGAAGGAAAAAAGTTTTAACCTCAAAAATAAGCTATTTGCTCTGTTCTTGTACTATGAAAACATATTGAGTGAGGTCTTTTATGAAAACTTGCAATATTCTGAATTTGATGGTCATTATGAGGTGTATATACAGGGTGGTTATGAATTCAGTATTCGGGTTTATAGAAATCTGTGCGCCTCATCTGTGATGCAACTTTCAGCACCACCTCACAACAGGGCAGTGAGCAGTCAGCAGTCAAGCAGGGAAAGGCACATTCCAAACCAGTTTCGTATACAAAACCAGCTTCAGGTAGCTATCCATGTCCGGCCCAGGAAAGGACAATGATGGACCATTAGAGTTAATGAAAAGACATTGAGACAACTTGAAATTGAAAAGAACATCTTAAACATCAAGTCATGAGGGAATTTCTTCACTCTGACTAATCAGGAGTCATGTGGCCTGGGGGTGGTGTGTAGGGGAACCTTTTAAAGGCAGGCCTGGGGCTGACATATTTTATCCAGAACCTGGGGGATAGTCTCCAAGCAGGAAGCTGTCAGTGAATGCTGGATTTCTCTGCCCTCCCCCCCGGAAACTGAGGCCGCCATAGCTAGGGGCTATGCTGTGGAACTGTTTTAAGGCAATATTATTAGAAGAGGAATCTTATCTAACATGGACAGGTAAAGCCTGAGGTTGTGTCTATATGTTCATGTTCAGTGTAACTTGTAGATGTTTGTTCCCTCTCACTCTCTCTCTTCCCCCCCCCCATACCGATTCTTTTTCGGATCTGTGTTTTTCTAGTTAAGCTTTTTTTTTTTTTTTTACCCACGTTAGTTCTCT